CAAGGTTAATTCAAAAGATAATCTCCATTACTATCAATGACTTGTTGCCAACGTTTATGCAAAGAATGGATTCCTCTTTCGAAGAACTCGGCCGGCTGCGACTCAAAGTAGTTGGACACCCAGAGTTGGACTTCTTCGCGGTTTGTGAACTTTCTCTCGGCCAGGGAGTGCTGCATCGACCGGAATTGAACTTTCTTTAAAAAAACAAAGTAGACATAGACAAAAATATATCAAAAGATGCACAATAAAAATCTCTTTCTAATAGACAAAACTGTTTTAAAAATCTTCTATAGTAGGAGAGAAATAAATGGACAAATTCAACGCGCATTTCTTTCCGAACAACCTAATAGTTGCTCCAGGGTAGAGGTCACTCATATGCTACTGATCGGTTCCGTACGGAAGATACGGACCATTTTTTGTTTGACGTGTCCACGTCTGCAGGAAGCGAAGACAGGTTTGACTTATGTAGGTTGGGCTTACCGAACCTACCTATGCACTTTCCAACTATTACGTCCCAACCGATTTTGACACCGGCGCCAAAAAAGACCAGGGCACTGAGAATCTCCTAATCGTTGATTACTCGAATATATGGTGTTAGCGGATCTGGCGCAGCGAGGATTCGCGCCAGGCAAACGTGGTGTTCGCATTCGACGGTTAAACTATGCCAGGCATAAACTTTTATCACCTTTCAGCCGAGCATGAATTTTCAGAAATCAAGGTTCTCAAAAATTGAGGCAGTAAGAAGCAAACAGTGCTCAGTGTTTCTTTACGCTCAGTGTTTCTTATTAGTAATTCGTTGACCGTTCAATGTCAGCTTCAAAATCTGTACCCAGTGAGAACTGTAGGCAATCGGAAATACTGAACTCACACTGGATAGCGGTCGAGCATCCTTCAGTTGCATCCCAATACCTCCAATGTTCACAATTTTTGCCAATGTTGGACGCGTCAGTTCGTAGAGTTCATTAGAATTCACCATCACCTGAATCAATCTGTTGGAATTACATTTCAAATTATTTTGAAGCAGCCAACTAGAAAGAGTACCAAAGGGGCCTTCGTCACTAGGTCGACTATGTGAGGGAAGTCTGGATCAATCCGTCGGAAAAGTTCTGTCTGCTCATCTGCGAACGTTCTGGAACAAGAAAATGGAAATGGGAATCGACGGTATGGACTTAAAAAAGTGCAACAATGCGTCACTAGAGCGCCTTGTTTCCCGAACAAAGTCTTTCATACAAGTACAAGTGGTGCTTACTTTTTCCAGATTAAGACTGTTAGGATGTGGCCGATAAAACTTTTCGTCCGTTCATAAAAATCCATCTCGTCCGTACTCGCCATCACAATTGCTGAAATGCGAAACTTTTCGTTAAGCGGTGGAAGTGTTCATGAATGAAGATCGATGCAGGTGTTCTACAGTTTTGTTCACTGCGGATGCTGGGGCGTGTCAAGGGAGGGCGCTGGGTGCGGGGCGGCGCCGGCCCGATCAGACGTTGTACCCGATTGTTGAAGCGGGGGAACAACAACAGTCGATAAAGAA